GAGCAAGGGGCCCGGCAGAGGCATCAGCTCCCCAAGCTTTCCCGGACAAGCAGGTCTCCTGGCTACGTCCCTCTGCTCGGGCACGTGGACGCTCTCAGCTCTGCCTTCACATCACACCGAGCACTAGCAAGGCACTGGGCCACCCCGCATCCCCCAAACGCGAACAGCCGTCCAGGGCCCCAGGGACACGTGTGCTGGCAGAAGGTGCAGGGGTGGAAGGGGGATGATGCTCAGGGCACGCCATGGAGACCAGGCGCCCCCATTCCTGGCACCGCCAGCAGCCACGACCCAGGCCCACCCTGTAGCTTCAGCCGTGCCCGGCGGACCCGCCACCCTCCGTCCAGCCCCTTGCACCGGGGGAGCAAGCATGGGCAGCCCTACCTGTCCGGGCGAGGACCTGCCCCGAGCTCCGTGCGCAGCTCTGGCTGGAGACCGACTGGCAGGATGCAGCCGGCTGGGAGGCAGCAGAAAAGCAGGTTTGTCAGGGCTGATCCTGACTGTACCGGGGAGTTGGCGGGTGCTGGGACCTGCCTCCTCCCAGGCAGCTGGATCAGATGCCAGCTGGCTAGCAGAGAAGTCCCCGAGCGTCCCCCTTGCCCAGGCTTGCGGTTGGGGGCTGGGACAAGGGGAGGCATGGACGTGCTTCGGCACAACTAATCCCACCTGACACCCAGATGCACCTGGGCAGCTCTGCACAGGGGTGCGGCAGAGTTGGGGGGCTGGAAGGCAACCCCCTGAGCCCCTGCTCCCCCAGGCCATGCGCTCAGCCCCATGCAACCAGCTACAAGCCCCCCAGGAAGGTCAGGGGAAGACGACACGCAGCTCGGACCCCTCCTGTGGCGCGCAGCAGCGCTCGGAGGGCGCAGGATCCAAGCACAGACTTCCCGGCCCTGTTGGCAGGATGCTGCAGCCGCTCCCAGGAGCGACGGAGCAACGTGGTGAGCAGCAGAGGGAACTTCCCAGCAGGAAGCGCTGCTAATCCTGACCCGACGGGACACCACCGTTAGGCCTGGGCAGGGAGCGATCTCCCAGGGCGAAGGTCAAGGCCGGTGCCGAGGGATTCCTCCACGGCTGGGGAATGCACTTCCCTGCCCCACCCCGCTGCGGCTTCAGCCCTGCTCATCATGGGGCTTTCCTGGCCCTTTCCTCCCCGTGCCCTGCCCTGTGCCGTGTCAGCTCCACACCTCCCTTGAAGAAACCCAGCTCCCCACCCTGTGCAAAGCACAGCAAATGAATGGGGAGATGGGCGGGTGGCTGCCATCGCTGCCCGCAGGCAGGTGGGGAATGCCCGGGGAGTGCCCGCCCCCCCACGGAGCTGCTAAGCCTGCCCTGCAAAGGAGGGGCAGGTTGAGCTACTTGCCAAAAACCCGGGGTTGCAAAATCAGACGACACCGCACCGGGTGGAGCAGCCGCAGCCTGCAGGTGAGGCTGGCACCTCTGCTCCACGGACCCATCTGCCGGCAAAAGTCCCAGGTCAGCCAGCAGCTTCCTGCTGGGCATGTGGACTAGCCCTGAGCTTTCCACAAGTCCAAGTCCATGGGGCCCCATGTCAGCCCCTCTGGTTTCTTCTCACTGAAGAGATCCTGCCTCTGCCTTTATAAGCAGCAGCACAGGAGGAAAGGCAGCAGCAAGGCTCAGGAAACCACCGTAACCACCCAGGGAAGGCAGGGGACCCGCTCTCTAGGCTCCCACAAGTCCTCAGGGAATCCTACAGCCCAGGTGTAAAATCCCTCCAAACCTCAACCCTGTTGTTTGAGGTTTGAGCCCAATGAGGAGCACGGAGGCCATGGTGTTTGCTCGTGGGACACCAGCTGCAGGGCCCCTGGGACCAGAGCGCGGCTCGGCCTCAGATGGACCCAGCAAGTGGGGAGGTTTTGCTCAAGAGCATGGAGGCGCAGGCCCTCGGCATCACGCAGCCAGGTGTCCCCGGATGTGGGGCTGGCATGGAGAGGAGAGCCCTGGAGCAGCCGAGCTCCTCCCCACTCTCCCCTCACACACAGCTAGAGCCTGTCACAACATTGGCACACAGGTAGTTTGAGCAGATGTTTAAACCAGTGCTTTATTGGAGACCCGTATGACCCAGCCAGCACCGTGGGGGCAGGCCGCGCAGCCCCGAGCCCCATCTCTAATGCGTTCAGAGCCGTGATAGACGCCCACAGCAAGCCCCCCAGCACAGCAATGTGGCACCAGGATATCCAAGCACCAGTCCAGCATCAAGGAGGGGCCCAGCCCTTCTGCCATAACGTGCAGGGGCTGTTCTACCCCAAGGCAGCTCCAGGGCCCGGCGCGACAGGCTAATGGTGTGGGCAGCCCAAGCCCCAGGATTTGCACAGGAGCCCAGCCCTGGCGTTCCTGCCTGCAGCGAAGTCCTTTCACCACTTGGGCAGGGAGAGGAAGTCACCATCCTCATTCCCCCGCCTGCCCCACTGGCGCTTTTGGCCACTGACTCACATGGGACCTGGATCAAGCCTTAAAGGCAGCAGCAGCTGCCAGCAAAACAGTCCTGCAGCTGGGTCCTGGCTTCACCTCCCGGCACCGGAGGCAGGGGCAGCACGGAGCTGGGCTCCCACCTAAGCATCCACGAAGCCGGGGGTGGCCAAGCCAAGACTCCAGACCAAGCGAGTCACGAGGCGGCAGGAAGCAGGGAAAGGCCCTGATCACAGCAAAGAAGCAGAGCCGAGCAATGGCAGTGGGATGGTCCCCCCCACGCTCAACACGGGGCACCGGGACGAGCCGTGGCAGCAGGCAGGCAGCTCCAGGACCGCTCAGGCCCAGGTGATCGTGAACTGCTCCCCCAGCGGGAGGGACAGCAGGATTGTCAAGATCTGAGGAGAGGGAGGGGAGAGTCAGCAGTGAGTGGGGGCGCTGCCCCCTCCCCAACCACCCCAGCGCCCTCAGACACCCCGACTGCTGCCATCTCCTGCAAATGCCACCGCCCTCCCTGCTCCCTCCTGCCAGCACGTGCCACAACACCGAAGATCTCCCCTTCCCATGCTCTGCAGCCTTTGCTTCCAGCAGCAGGAGGGAGAAGCCAGGCCTCAGCCCAAGCGGCGCCCTGGTGCTTGGTGGCCTTGCCTTGGTGTCCGTGCGGTAGGAGAAGTCATCGACGAGGGCCCCATTCGCCAGGACGTGCTGGGGAGGGCTGGGGACACCCAGCACCGCCACCTTCTTCAGCAGCAGCCCGTCCACCTGGCTGTTGACCCGCAGCAGCTCGCTAACCAGCGTGCCCTGCGCCCAAGGGAGGAGCGTCACCCCCAGCAAAGCCTTCGCACTACTGCCAGCCTCCCCCACGCCCAGGCTGGTCTGGGTGGCAGCTTCTCACTCAGACTGCGGCTCACACCACCTCCTCCTTTAAGCCACCCAGCTTGGCCTAGACGATGCACTGAATCTAACTGGGGTCATGCAGCCGGGCCCCCCCAGCCCTTCCAGGGTTTGCAGTCAGAGCTGGAGGGCAGGAAAGGGGAGGATGCAGTGACTGGGAACGCAAAGGGGAGCTGAGCATCAGGGTGCCTTGTGCAGGCACGGCCTGTCTGCAGCAGACGGTGAGAGCTAGGACAGCCACGGTGGAGGGACCTGCCCCAGGCATGGAGTGAGCCCCCATCCCACCTCCCCACCCAGAGCCAGGAGACCCCAATGCCCCAAAAGGTTTGGCCCCATTAAGGCCGAGGGCAGCAATAGGAGGGGAACAGGCCTGGCCTTTGCAAACGCTGCAGCTCCCAGCACCCAGTGCCACCCTGGGTTGGCTGGGCTAGGACTGGGGCTCTGCACGCTGCCCCTCAGACCTCTACGGCTCCGGACTCTGCTCTGGAGTCACCCCCTTGGGCCATGCTGCCAGGAGCAGGTGGCAAGCAACATGCTCCGGCACAGCACTGGGAATCGCCTGCAGGCAAGCAGCCAGCTCCCCCACTCAGGCTCACGCTCATGGCCAGGAAGAGGATCTGGGTGTAATCGCCCCTCTCGAAGGTCTGCAGCCCCTCGCCATCATCCCAGAACAGGTCGCCCCGGGCGAAGCCATCTGCTGTCAGCGCCACCACCAGCGTCATCCCCTTCTTGCGGGACTCAGTCGTGGTGAAGCCAGGCTCCTGGGGATGGGGACACCGGGCGGAGAGGAAACCCCTGCCTGGAAGTGGCAGGTCCAATCCCAAAGGCCCCACGCCACTAGGCCTGTCACCCCAAGACCCTCGGCAGGGGCTGGGCTCCCTCTAGCCCCAGACCAAGCTAGAGCATCTTGCCCTTCCCTCTGGGAAACAGGGTGGAAGAGACCAGGTTGGCCCTGCTCAGACGCAAGGGGGGTGACAGACAGAACCAGTCCCTCTCCACAGCCCCTGATGACACTAAATCCATCCCTTCCAAGTCCTGCTAAGTCCAGGTTTCAGTAGGACTGCCAGGGTCTAGCTCTCCAGGAAGCATGAACCTCGTTCACCTCTTGCTGACGTGCCCCCAAGCCCTGCCAAATCCACGCAGAGCCCCTGGGACCAAGCTGGGCTGGAGCATGAACTTCTCCCAGAGACAACTCACCTGCAAGGGCAGGATGTGTCCTTCCCGAACGTGGACGTTGATGGTGTCAAGCGGAGCAGGCAGGAGGATCCACTGGCCCTTGCTGTGGATGACGGTGTCCTGCAGAGGGACGAAGGAAGGTGCTACCCAGGTGCTGAGCATCCCCACAAGCCCCTTCTTTTTGCAGGGAGTCAGTGAGACCGCTGGCTCTTACCCTCGCAGCAAAGCTGCAGACCCACCAGCCCCAGGTCACGGTAGGGAGTCCGTGGCGCTGAGCACCAAGCACTCACCGTCACCAGGTGGTACCAGGTCCCCGCAGGGAAGTACCCGCTCACTTTGGCCTTCCCAGGCTCCAGCACCGGGGTGATGAGGAGGCCCGCACCCCACATGAGCTGGTGGTCGACGGTCCAGGTGTTGGGGTCTGTGGGGAACCTGGGAGAGGACGGAGACAGTGTATATTCTGGTGCCCAGGACAGAAGGGCTGAGGGTTGCATCCATGCCATGCACCCAGTGTATCATGCCATGCCCCCGCCCAGGTCGGGTGCTCCCACCTGCCCCTGCCTCCAGCCTGATGCTCACTCGAGGAAGAGGGGTTGTGCCACGGTCTCCCCTGCCACATGGGCCTTGTGGAAGAGGGTGTAGAGATATGGGAGCAGCGTGTAGCGCAGGAGCAACGTCTTCCTCATGGCCTTCTGTGCTGCCGGGCTGAATGCATACGGCTCCTGGGGCTGCAGAGCAGGGGAGCCCACAAAAAAATGCTCAGCAGGGGCAAGAAGGAAACTAGCCCCATGCTTCAGAGATTGCACAGCAAAGGATGGGGCCAAGCTCCCTCCAAGCACACCAGCCCCTGAGCACCCCATGGCCGAGACAGCGGCCCTGAGCCTGCGGGGCCCTGGCTTGCCCCCAGTGCCTGCCCGCGGAGCGTGCTCACCTGGCTGCCATGGTCGTTGTGGTTCCGCATGAAGGGGTAGAAGGCGCCCAGCTGGGTCCAGCGCACGCACAGCTCCTCCGAGGTGTCTCCCGTGAAGCCGCAGATGTCAGCTCCGACCAGCGGCACCCCATACAGATTGAAGAGCAGCACCTCTGGGAGCATGTCGAGGCTCAGCCAGCTCCATCTGGAGCTCGGAAAGGAGACCGCCGGGGGCTGCTAGACAGCTGCAAGTCCCAGGGGCACACACAGAAACCCGGCACAGCATCCCCCCAAAACTAGGGGCCCACAGGGAGCCAGAGCAAACACCCTCTGGGTCACAGCATGGCCCTGCCTGTGGAAGAGCAGCAGCTAGGGACAGCCCCGTCCTGCTGGCCTGAGAGCAGGTCACTGTCCAGCAGCCCCAGCTCTTCCAGGTGGGCTTGGGGGGTGGGGAAGGAGAAGCTTCCCAGGGCCAAGCTTCCCTGCGGCTGGCTCCAGGGCTGGGCTGTTTGTGCCACCATGTGCCATGGAGCAGGGGCAGGAGACACAGGTACCCTCGCACCTTCCAGGAGAGGAGGGCAGTTCTCTCCTTGAACGTGCTGACCCCCCTGCAGGCCAATGCCTGCAGCTGGATCCTCCCCAGGCAGGCCAATGTCCAAGCACAGGATGAATCCAAACCCAGAGGTGCACCCTCACGCACACCAAGGCTTGCCCAGGACATGCCTCATGCTGCTGCCGCCCCAGGCCCACTGTGGCATGCTGCACCCCTTGCCACAAGCATCAAGGGACCCAGGGCAGTGGCACTCAGGTACCTGCTACAGAGTAGGACAGCTGTTCCCAGGAGCTTGAGACATCCCCGGTCCAGTGGCCAGCATAGCGGCCGTGCCCAGCGAAGGTGGAGCGGGAGATCACAAAGGGACGCTTCCCTCGCACCCGCACCAGCGCGCTGCAGGGACAGGGGGCGGCCGTCGGGAGTTGTCCAGGGGGTCAGAGCGGCCCTGCCACCATGGCCTTTCCCCTGGGCAAGCCCAGCCCCCACCATGAGAGTCCCCCCTCCTGCACCCGAGCCACATGGGACACGAGATGCGGGCGCAGCCGAGGGGGAAGACTGCTGCCTGGTGTCCCTCATGAGCTGGGCTCTCCCAGCGCCCTCACACCCCTCTCTGGACCCAGCCAGCCCCTTCCCACACTCAGCCAGGCCAGCACTGGTGTGGGGCCCCCACCTTCACCCCAATTCCCTCATACACCACTGGCCCCAGTGCCTTCAGCCTTAGCTGCTAGGACAGCAAGCCTGTCTTTGGGCAGTCCCAGGAGCCCCATCTTCCATGGGCCGCCCCAGTCTCAAGCCCTCCCCGAGAGCTACCCAGCCAGATGCCTGAAAAGGAGCATCGTCCCGACCGGAGCCAGCAGTGGCAGCTGTCCCAGACTCACTTATGGGATGCAATGGTCTCCGTCAGCCCGTACAGGTTGTGCAGGTTGTAATGCGAGGACAGGTGCTGCTGGCTGGAGGCGCAGATAGTGGCTGAGCGCAGGGACCCCCCCAGCACACCTGCAGAGAAACATGGTGAGCCAGAGCCCGGTGGGGCCTGCACAGCACGTGCCAGAAAGACGCTCGAACCCTCCATGCCACTGCTGCCAAGGGCAGGGCAGCCTGGTTTCACTGGGTGCCAGCTCCTCATGGCAGGTGAAGGCCTCCCAGCTTCATCTGGATGGGCACATTATCATGGGAAGGGTGCCCAGATGCCTCCCGAGACATCAGTCTCATGGCAGGGACACTGATCCCTCCTGTAGCAAGCCAGGGACTTGCCACTGCTCACCTGGCACGTAAGGTGGATCTTCCAGCTTGCTGCTGGGGCACCCGTCCACAGAGCCCAGCACAAAGTTTGAGGGCTCATTCATGTCCTGGGGAAAGAAGAGACCCTTGAGTCCAGGCCAGGCCATGGGCAGCTGCCCTGGAAGGGAATCAGAAGGGTGATGGCTCCATCATGTCCTGGCACGTGGGCTGGGCCCAGGTGGGAGACGTCACTCACGATCCACATGCCATCGAAGGGCACCTGGTCGTGGAAATCCTTCACCATGCCGTACCACCACTCCTGTGTCTCGGGGTTTGTGAAGTCGGGGAAGGCGGTTGGACCCGGCCACACCTGGCAGACAGAGGCAAAGACCACGAGGAGTCTAACTGGGGGCACTGGGAGGTGCGGAAGGCTCCACTCCACCCCGGAGCACCCCCTGCCTGGTCTCGACTAGCCCATCCCCAAAGGCTGGGGCTCACCTTCCCGATCAGAGGCTGCCCCGTCGTGTTTTGGATGAACACCCCTCGCCTCAGCCCATCGTCGTAGGGCTTGTAGCTGCCGGGAGGGCTGGTGCTGCTAATTGCCGGGTCCTAGCAGGGAGAGATGCCCATGCCATAAATTGACCAGAGGACAGCCCGTGACACCATCACCCACGAGAGGCCAGACTGCACTGTGTGCAGGGTACTGGCCTCACCCAGCATCTAGAGCAGGTGCAGGGCAGCGAGGGATTCAGCTTATCTTGAAGCAAGGGGGAGAAGTGGTCCCAAGGCTGCCAGGGCAGCTTATCTCAGAGCAAGGCTGCCAGGGAAGGCACAACGTTCTTCTCTTCCAGAGCCAAGGTCACCCAGCAACTCCCGGTTCACGTGTCTGCACGCCTCTGCAATCCTCCAGCCACAAACACACAGCCCACATGCAGGGGGCATCCCCATCCCTTGCAGCCTCACACCATCTTGCCTTCAGAGAAAGGACCTGGCCCCAAACTCCCTGCAGCCCCATGCAGAGGAACGACCGGGCAGACGGTCAGCTCTGCGGGGCTGGAGGAGGTTTTGAGCTGCAGAGTTGCTCCTTGGCATTGAGGTCTGAGCGTTCCCCACCACCAACACCACTCGCGGTCCATGCCAGTGAAGGGCAATGTAAGGCAGGGGCCGGCAAGCAAGTGCTGGAACCTGGGGGGGGCCTTGGGCTACGTCAGGATGGGATTCCTGCATGGCGGCCACTAGAGCCAAAGGTGACAGAGAGAAGGCAGCTTGACGGGGCAGGGGCCGGGCTGCACTCACCACGATCATGACATAGTGCCGGCCATTGCGGTGGAAGTCTTGCACCATGTTGGGGTAGTCTGGGAAGCTGCGCTGGTTGAAGGTGAAGTCCCGCCGTGCGTCCATGTAGTCCAGGTCGTTCCACTGCACGTCCTGCACAGACAGCCAGGTCCTGGCATTGCTGGTGCAGCCCCCAGCGTGGCTCCCACCCCCCCACGCAGTAACACGTCGTTCTCCCAAACTCTGCCCTGGCAGTTGGGCTCAACTAGGGTCTTGCTGGCTGTGACGCCAGGGCCGTGCCGGCTCAGGGACTGTCCCCCCAGCAGCGGGACAGGGCTCCTGCACCTGGTTTCAGGAGAAAATCGAAAGGCAGGAACTTACCAGGGGGAAGCCCGCAGCCGTCATGTTGTCCACAACCTGCCGGGTGATCGCACTCGAGGAGTAGCCCCAGCGGCACAAGTGGAAGCCCAGGCCCCAGTAGGGTGGCATGAAAGGGTAACCTGGAAACCAGGAGGGTGCAGGTCAGAGAGGGGGGAGCCAGCGACAGGCCACAGCACTCCAGCTGCAACATCCTCCGGGCACGGTGGCAGGGAGGACTGCTGTCACCCCGCTCCCCTGATCGCTGAGGGCGAGCAATAAGTCTTCACAGCCCACAAAGCTCCTTGGCCTCCCCAGCATGCACAGGGAAGGATCAGGCCCCCTCAGCCAGACCGCGCTCTTAAGACCAGAGCGCGCTGCATATGCAGGGGGGGATATGCCAGGCCTTGGCCTTGGTCAGGCCAGCTGCGAGGTCTCTCCTGCCCTACACAGCCCGTCCAGGCCGGCTGTTTGCTCCCATCACAAAGCTGCCCAGTGGCAAGACCCCAACAAGAGCACCAGGCCCTTCCCCACAACCCACAGTGGGGCCAGACTGCTCCCAGACCCCCTCACCAATGACATCCAGGTACTGCCGGACCACACTCTTGGGGTCTGGGCCCAGGAAGACATAGAAGTCCAGGATGCCACCAATCGTCCTCCATGTCAGGGCAGGGCTAGGCTGCAGCACCACATCTGCCAGGCACACGTACAAAAGGTGCAAGAGTGAAGCAAGTGAGCCAGGAACACAACCCAGCAGCCTGGATTGCCTCAGGCCAGAACCATGCTTTCTTGCGAGACTGGCAGCCAGCCCCTGTGGGCCGCTCTGGGATACCCATGCTCAACCCTAGTGACACCACCCACAAGCTCCCTTGCAGAAGGGGGATGACAGGCCAGGCACTAGCACCAAGAAGGGCCCAGAGGTGGCTGCGCATCAGCAACGAGACACCAGCATCAACAACCAGGCACCACTGGGGGCTGCATTAACAGAGGCAAGTGAGTGTGACAGGTGATAACGCCTGCTCAGTGCAGGCCTGGGCAGAAATCTGTCCACCTTGTTCACAGAAGGGCACAGAGAAACCAGACAAAACCCAGAGACCGGCAACAACGATGATCAATGAGTTGGAAAGCAGCCACACAAGGGAAGGCTGGGAGAACTGGGCGCGTTTAGTCTGGAGAAGAGGAGATTAGATAGGGGACATGGCTTTATAGCAGCTTTCAAGTAGCTGAAAGGCTGCCACGAAGCTGGAGAAACCCTGTCTTCCCTCCCAGCAGAGCGCAGAACCTGAGGCAGCGGGTTTAAATCAATGCGATATGCTGCAGGTGGAAAGTTCCCTGGTGGCCAGAGCATAAGGGCACGGAGCAAGCTGCCCAAGGGAGCTGTGAGCTCCTCTGCCCTGGAGGAGTGCAGCCAGGGCTGGAGAGGCGCCTGCCAGGGATTGTTTAGGAACTGTGTGTGCAAAGGTGAGCGAGATCGAAGGTCCCTTCCCATGTCCACTCTATGCAAGGCGACCAAGCCTGAAGGTGAAATAACAGCCAGGCTCCCCACTCCACGAAGGGACACGGGTTGGGGGGAGGGACACTCACCCATTGCGTTGCTGTTCAGCAGGAAGACTCCGTGGGCCGTGCCGCTGTCCTCCATCACCAGGTAGAAGGGGTGAGAGCCATAGAGGTTGGCAGAGGGCTGGGACACAGCAGAGCACAGACCATCAGCAGGAAGCAGGGCTGCAGCCTATTCATGCTCATGGCCTGCTGCACAGCTGGGAGGCTTCCCGTTCCCAAATGCAGCCAGCCGGACATCTGGGAGCTCGGCCTCTCCAAACAACACATGCGCAGACAAGCTGGCAATGCCTGGTCACGGCTGGGTCAGGCACAAGGACTGTGCAGTTGCCCAGCCGCAAGCCTTGGGGCTGTTTAGCGAAGGGGGGAGTAGAAGCAGGGGCCATTTCAAACATCCCCGCACCCTCCCCAAGCCTGCGGGCTGCAGCACATGCTTTCACCCCACTGTGGCATGCAAGCGTGCTCCTGCTTGGATTGGCAGAGGTGGGCCAGCCCAGGAAAAGTATGCCAAGCCAGGCACACTGCCATTCTCAGGAAGGCAGCAACTGCCAAGCACAGAGGCCCTGGGCCAGGGGTCCCAATGCTAATGGTGGCACCTGCCAAACTGGGCACGGAGACCCCACTCGTGCCAACTGCAGCCAGACACAGACCTCAACATTAAAGCCCAGGCAAAACAGTGGAGCGGAGCTGGGCTCCAGAGACAGGCATGGAGTTGACCGGTGTGTTGAGATGGGAAGGACTCCCGAGCCCCTCACCATTATGGCTGCAGGCAGATCCTGATAACCCTGCTTTGGGGTCTGAGCTCTAGGACGAGACCTGGGGGGCTCTGGGACACTCCCCTCCCTGCTAAGGCAGGGCTTCCCTCGCCCCTGCCCCTCACCACAGGTGCCATGTCCCGGTTCCAGAGAGTAATTTTGGTCCACTGGGTGTCAAGGACGAGTGGGGTCAGGTGCTCCCCCAGCCCAGAGATGAAGCGGGAGGGCAGGGAGGTGGAGATCTCAAGGAACTGGTCTGCGAAGAACAGGGGAGCCACGGAAGTGTTCAGCCTGCCAGAGAGAAACGGGGACTCTCAGCACACAACCTACAGCCCCTCAGGGATGGCACACCTCCCTCCTGCACCAGGGAGGCCATGGGCCCCCCAGCACCAGAAAGCAGGGAGGACATAGAGCCTTGAACCAGAGGCGTCTCTGGGCAGAACAAAAAGGGCTCCCAGCAGGTGCTTCAGGCATGGTGGGAAGCTCAGTGCAGGGGTCGAAGGCACCAGCCGGGGACAGGGAAGCCAGGCCTGAGCCTTAGTGCAACGGCTTCACCCCAGAGAGACTCATTAAGTCACCTCGAACTGCAGATTAAGATGAGAATAAAGAAAAACCAACAGCGAGACCCTGCCTCTGCCTCCACCGTCTCCTCCCTGCTCAACACCTGCCAGGTCCTTATTCCAGACCAAGGGCCTGTGCAGTGGCCACATCCAGGGCAGCCGGGATGCACGAGGCAGGAGAGGCTGGAGCTGCCTTTTCTCGTCTGGTGGGACAAGCCACATGGAGAGCAGAGGGGCCGGGACAACAAAGCAAAGGGCTGGGCTCCTTGGGGGGGCACCTGAGAGAAGACATCTCAGGTTGCAGTGGGGCAGTGGAAGCACTTCCCACTTCATCCCTCCAGCTTTGCGGGGTTGGGCTGAGACTCGGGAAGGGCAGACGTGTGGGAAGGGAGCGCACTTACAGGACCTGCCCGCTGGATTCCCTGAGTACGATCAGGCCAAAGGGGTCGGCCGAGAACCGCAGGTTGTAGAGCTTTGAGACCACCCGGCTGCTCGCGGTCGGGGTTTCGAGCGGCACCTCGTAGCGCTTGTTTGCCGGGTCCCTGAGCTGCAAGGAAAGGCAGAGACCAGGATGGCATCATGTGCTGGGAAAAGCCACAGGCCTTGGAAACGAGTCACCCCACAGACGAAGGAACTGAGCTCTCCAAACTCACCCCCGACCTGGGCCAGCACCCACTCACCGTGAAGTGGAGCCTGGCGTCCGTCTCAAACAGCACATCCAGCTGCAGGACCATGACGTCGTCCGGGAAGACGCTGGCCGTGGCCCGGGCCAGGCTGGCGGTGTAGCCCGTCTCGGTGGCAGTCAGGTTCTGCACCCTGTAGCTGGGGTAGCCGGGGGGGAAGAAGCACCAGGGCTGCCAAGTGCCAGGCCCCGGCGTGAGAACAGGGACGTAGCAGCAGCCCCGCGCCTCGCACTCCTCCCTGGAGACGAGCTTCTCGGGCACGCAGTCAAAGCGGTGCTCGGGAGAGGCGTCGCACTGCGGCCGCCCGGAGGGAGCAGGGCCCAGAGGCTCGTGCCCACGCGCTGCCCTGCGGTGCCGCGAGCCCCGTCCGCCCGCTGCGTGGCTCCCTCTGTAGATGCTCTGCAGCCCCTCGGCATCCCTGGGGCTCGGGGCGGCCGCGCGGGCGCTGGATGCGGCGAGCACAGCAGCTGTCGCGAGCACAGCCGCCAGGCACAGGACGGCCACCTGCAGGGCAATGCCGGGAGCCCGCCGGCGGGCTGGCTCTGCCCGCGTCCCGGGCATGACGGAGCAGGGGGCACGGCCCCACGGCCGGCTGCGGGGACGGAGAAGCGGGGGGTGAGCTTCTGGGCTGAGAGCGGCTCCGGCGCCCTGCCCCGGGGCGGCGGCGGGGGCGAGCGCAGGGGTCGAAGGCACCAGCCGGGCCAGGACCTTAGGGCCACGGCTTCGCCCCAGACAGACTCATTACGTGCCCAGCCCCAACCCCTGTCCCTGGGCCGTGGAAAGGGGCCCCACCCCAGCCCTGGCCCACCACCTCAGCACTGCGGGCCCCGCGAGTCACGTGAGCCGCCGGTCAGCTGACCCAGCTGGGCGGGTCATCACGTGACCGCAGTGTCACATGACAGCGCGGGCGGCTTCCTGCCCCCGCCCACGTGCGTGGCCCGGCGCTGCCCCTGGAGCCCTGGCTCAGCCGCCGGGGTCGGGCGTGACGGCCCGAGGGAGAGGGTCTCCCGTCAAACCCCCCGAGGTTTCCAGCGGGGATCTGCGGTGTCAGGCAAGCCTGCGATTAAAGCAGTTTGTTTTTTCAAGTTCCTAGTTGGTCTCATAAAAGAGATCACCCAGACCAGCAGTTGTGATTGCTGGTGTTAATAAAAAAAAAAAAAGCCATCCTGCCCTGCTGTGGGCTCTGCAACACGGGAGTTGCTCTCGTGTTTTTCCACAGTCAAAAAAAAAAAAGGAGTGAAAAGGGAAAACTGGGATTTCCCCAAGTCTGTAACCCCTTACCCTCCATCCCGTTCTCAAGATCATGGTCGGGGCAGCTAGGATCTGAAACCAACTTCCAAGAGACCCTGGGGGGGCTTTAAGAGGAGGCTGGATGTACACCTTGCTGGGGTCGTTTGACCCCAGTACTCCTTCCTGCCATGGCAGGGGGTCGGACTAGATGATCTGCTCAGGTCCCTTCTGACCCTAGAAACTATAAGAAAGTTTGATGCAGGAGACCCAGGGCCTTGCCCAGCTGGGAGGATGCAGGGATTTGGGAGCAGTGGGGCAGACACCTGGTGGTTACAAGGGGAAATGCTTTAATTTGGCAGCACCTGAGTGAATTAAATGGATAATTAAATTGTATCCCAGGATAGTGGTTTTTAAGGGTTCCCACAGCACCTGAGAAAGGTGAGCACCCCACTCCAGCAACAAACTCAAGTGCAAACAACAGAAATGATTTGCCCACGGCCAGGCAGCAAGTTAACAATGTAAACCCAGCGCAGGCAGCACCTGCTGCACTGAGATGAAAGGGAAATCTCGGGCTGAGGCCTGGAATTAGTTCCCTCTTTTTGCTGTCACGCACTGCAAAATGAAGAGCAATTAGGCACAGTCCAGTGTAATCAGTGTATGTGCCTTTCCTCTCTGCAGTCCCTCTCCTAGACCACACCCCATCTCGTCACGACCTCCCCGAATTAGTGGCTCTCCATTAAAAAGAGAGGTCGGACTTGATGATCTGTTCAGGTCCCTTTCAACCCTCAAAACTATGAAAAAGAAACTGCATTTTGTTTGCATGGTTGAGGTTCCTAAGCCAACTGCTTCCTAAGTCAGGACAGTTCTCCCACACACCTGCAAACCCCCTCTGGGCTCCCTACGTGCTCCCCTTCCCAGTCTCAGGAACAGACAGCCCATCTTCAACTGCGCAGCACTGGCTGTGATCTGAGCATCGTGTTGCTCTGGGATGCACTTCACTATCTGCAGACAAGGAGACCATCCAATTCAGCCCCCTGAATCTGAACGTGCAATTGTGAGTCCCGCGTTTGTACAATGCACAACTGTACGAGCCATCGAGCCCAACCGACCTGCTGCTCTGGAGCTGATCAAAAAGCCAGCAACAAGCAGGGTGCACACCACTCGTGTCTCAGAGCTCCAAAGCAACCTACCATCTCCCAGTTCAGCTTCCACTGCTGCTCCCTTTTCTTTCTGTTCCCCAGCCTCCACACTCCAGGAGAGGACCAAGGGGCTAAAGGCTAAAGTGCTGTTTTGTATTTATTTGTGAACATGGTAAAAAAAAAAAACACTCTGTTCAGATCTGATTCTGTCCTTTGGCCTGCTTTGCTTCCAGGGAGCCCAGCTTGGACTCCAGGACTTGGCTGACCTGGTGCAGTGCCCGCTGGCACTGGGGGTATTCCTGCTGGATCTGGTAGACAATGATGCTAATGCTATGCAGCCGGCTCTGCTGCTTCCTCTGTTCGCTTTGCAGGGCATGCTCACTCCGGCAGAGGGAGATGTATTTTCCCTCCTTGGCTGCCTGCAGGTGCTTCTGCCGGGTCTGGTAGGCCACGATTTCTGAAAGGTTCTTAGAGGAGCAACAATGAAAGCTGCTGTAAGACCAGTCTGTGTATACAAGGAGTGGGAGGATAAGGAGGACTGGACTTCTACAAGGGAGGAGCAGAGCTTATCACATCTTGAAACAGAATGGATTTTAAGAGGGGCAGTGCCGTAGAATCCCATCCTAACAGCTGAAATGGGCACCCCCCCCCCATTTGTAGTGTTACATGAATGGTCACTGCATTAAGATCAGAGCCCAGTGACTCCCCAAAGTCAGACACAGGCATAGTAGGGAAAGCTGGAAGACCAGAGAAAGTTCTGCCCATTTGAAACGTCACTGAAAGTCAAGTCAGAGTTGGCTTGAACTGGCTCTCACACAAGCTGTGATATCTTTCACTCTAGCCAGCTGGTTCTCAGGACAAAATGTTTCCTTCCTACCTTTGAAAGAGTGTGTGTGCGCATGTCTGCTGTCAGCCTGATGCTCCCATTTAATTCTCCACTAAATAACAAGAGGTGGGCACGAACATCAGCACTAGAGATGCCTTCATGTCCAGAACTCCCACTGAGCTTTATGACTGTATCTAGGGTCATCAGGTATGGGGAAAACAAGGAGGAGTCCGACAAACAAAGGCACACTGGCTGCTATTTTATCAATGTGAAATATTAAGAGATGAGGGTCTGCAAAGCAAACTGAAGTTAATCAGAGCTGAATTTCTCCTAATCTAGTTTCATGTAAATCTAGTTTTCATGTTAAACTACTATGAGAGTCAGCCTAAGAGAAACTGCTTCAAGCTGCTGAGGTAAAGGGGTTTCCTTTGTAGCTCTAGAAGGGAGCTGGACAATGCTGATATAACCAGCCTGATGTGGCAGGGGCTGTGTGAACTGATGGAAGGAGGAAAGAGGAACTCCTGTAGTTTGCGTGTGTAGCAGGGAAACAGACAAGCTTACCCAGCGTTTCTTGTCCTGCAGCCGCTCTATGTCCAAGTCCAGAGCACTGGACTCAGCCTGCAAACTGGAAACCTGCTGCTGCTTTTCCAGAAGGGCGGTGTTGAGAGACGCCTGGGTGTTCTCCAGTTCCAGGATTGTTTTGTTGCAGTCTTGACCACTCTAATGAAGGGGAAAAAAACAGAGGTGCTGCTTTCCCAGCCAAGCTGCATTGCTACACTATTGCCCGAGATGTTCCCTGTCCTTTGGGGGCATTTGAAGATGGCACGTCCTTTTGCAAGCACCCTGTGTGGCCCTGAAGGCACAGGCATTTGTGTGGACAGATGCCTGCAAGGAAACCAGATCATTCTAACAATGTGCCAGTAAAGAGAGCAGTTCAGTCCTATCTCCCTGATCTCCTCCTACCCAGCATGTCGCTGTGGCTAGGGG